AATCTAACAGCTTATTCGTTGTTTCATAGAGGTTGATCCTATGGGATATTCACATGGAATTACACAATCGTCGTGCGCAGTAGAAATAGATAGCTGACTGAATCAAGTTAGTTACAATTCAAAGTCGAATCGCAAAAAGATAAAATGCAAAAATAGAATAATCAAAATGCAAAATGAAAAAAATATCCATTGAAAATTAACTGCTCACTAAATTTCTACATTGTCTTCTTTTTATAATATGCTTGGCCTATTGTTCGACTACCTGATATTTAAATAACATAATGGATGTGCAAAAAATTGCAGCGACTTTGTACCGATTCAAAAAATTGACGTTTATATAAATACATATATTCTTCTATTTTTTTCATCCTTTTATAAACATAGTTTTTACAGTTATCAATTTTGTTTTCCACGATATCGTTTTATAAAAATAAAAATTGATTGAACTAATAAATACAAAAAATAATAATTCTCTAAGCTGTAGCAATTATAAAATCATGTATAAATGTGGCAAATTAATGTATAAATTATATATTACATATGTACATTGTTACAAATTCTTCAAAGACTTTTTGAACAAAATAAGCTTTGTTATTGTTAAAATTAAAAAGTAAACCGCAAAATTGCAAAAAATAAGAATTAACTCAATCGTTATTTGAAATTATACGTGTAAAATTTATTTGATAATTAAATTTGACACATTTTAAGACATTTACACTACAAATTAAAACGAGCTGAGCGCGCCAGAATTAATTCGACAATAAAACTAAAAGACGCATTGTCTTGCGCAAAGCACAATACGCGAAAGCAAAAGACAAATCGCATCGTAGCGATCGGTGACATGCAATGCAAATTGTAGTTAGTTCGTAAGGTAGTATGTGTATATACACGGCCCTCGATTTCCCTCGGGAAGCAAACAAATTCATAACGCAATCTATTTGAGGAAGGATATAGAAAGTTGCCAAAAAAGCCATAGCAAATAAAAGACCAACGATCAAGCAATCATTGTTATGTATCAAATGTAGGTACACGATTTAAAAAAAAGTATACTCTCAGATTTCCACTATTATCTAACAAAAGGTACAGAAAAAGAATATATATATACATATATATATATTGAAATTTTTATCTGGAATCGCCAGCGGAAAGAATTAAGGTTTTTGTATAAATACTATACTATACTTGCGAGGAGAATATTCAGAATGTGTGTCAGAGGAAACTCGCAGCAGAAAGTTTTTGGCATCCGGTCGATATGCTAGGACGAATTGGCGAAATGTTATGCGAAAACTCAAGGGAAGATATACTTCTTGAAAAAGGATTTTCTACGTCGAAAAAAATTTTTCTACTAAAAAAGAGCAACACCTTGACAAATGACAATGTGCATGCACATGTAAAACTTGCAATATAAAGACAAAATAACAATATACATATACGTGTATACATATAAGTGCAAATAAAACTAGAAAAATTATTCATAAGACATTATGTCATTAAGACATTAAAAAAATTAATTAAATTAATACATCAACGAAACGCAATGTAAAATTATATATTCATAGACACATTTTGATGACGAGGAAAAAAGAAAAATTATATTCCAATTGAATACACTATATGTAAACTTAACAAATTTATAAAATCGAATCGATAGTGTATAACGGATGGATGATAAGCGAAAGATAAAATTGGAAATATTTCTTTGTATAAAAAAAGCTGGTGTGACAGTAAAGGGCAAACGAAAACGTCGAGCGGAAAAGCTTGTGAGGATTTTCCACGTTTGATCGATCGACGGAAACTGAATGAAAGTTCGGATTGTTCATCTACTTTGCTTCCTTTCCTTCTTTTTTTATTAATCTGATCAAATCAGCCCCACTTTCATCCGGTATTTGCAGATGAAAATTTTACAATAAATGCAATTACATCGACGGTTGTCTAACGCAATTTTTTGCAAGCAATATACATATAAATATAAATATGCAAATATTTGCGTAAGTATTTATAGTCCAGTATTGTAAATATTTTATGTTGAAATAATAATATTTAAAGTCATTGAAAGGATTAAGTTAAATATTATTAGCGACAATTAATCAATTATAAAAAAACAATTATAACACTAATTGTTAAATTAATTTGGCATTTTCGCTTTACCAATCAAGAGATAATTTCATTAAAGAAAGCTTATAAAAGAGAAAAAGCATAATCCTAGCCAAAGCGATTGAAGCGTAAAATAATTTTATCTTGTAGAATTATTAACGAGAAATTGGTTTAAGATTATAGCCAAGAGCCATAAGCTATTCTTTCTTTCACGGATACTGACCAATAAGCTATAATTTTTTGCTTCACGTAAAAAATTGTCTTACTATGCGTTCGAGAGATATTTGAATAATCTTTTTTAAAACCATTATTTTTCAAAAATGCTAGCAATCTTGACCGATCATAATTCAAATATCACAATCTATTACGAGTTCACAAACGCAACCTGTTAGGATTGGCAACTCGTTCATCACAATCAAACTGATATTGGATAGAATTTCTATTTTTTCGAATCAATACACAAATTTAGCGTCATTAATTCAGGTCATTGATTTCACGTAATTCGGTTGAATTCTTCCAATTTCTTATTTAAGATACTTCACATCGGATGCTATTTATTTCTCTTTCCATCTGCTGTCGTATTTATTTTTTGCGTTTTTTTTTTATCGACTTATTATTGTCATTATTGCAAGGAAGAAATAACGTCGGAAGTACTGCAGTCGCTCGAAAAAACTGTCGTCGGAAAAAGAAATTGAGTTCTATCTGCAATTTGTATAAAGTTCCGATTATTTTTACCAATCTTTACAAGTCTATTATCGTCGCACGTTTTTCGACCACCGCAAACTTTATACAAATTCCTCATCACATGTACAATATATAAAGTATCTTTCACATTCATTACATCATGCATTTTCAGGAGAAAGTATCCCCTTGACGAAAAAAAGACAAGCGTTCAAATATTGTATCAAGAACTTTGAAAAAGTCGAAGACAAACAATAAATCCTTGATCTGTTAACGATCATCATGTACTTGTAAGCTTCAATGAAGCGTGAACCACCGCTGATCGATTAGAATGTTAAGCTATCAAGGTTCAACCTAGTAGCCTTAATTGATGAAACTTGACGGATACCATCGACTTCCGCGTCTCAGTCTTCTTGAGGGCAAGAGATTGAAAGACTATTCAGGTGCAATCGACTATGATGCGTTCCGATCTCTCCTAAGCCGTCATGCTCGATAACCAAGGGCGGGAATGTCATCGTGGCTTTCCACATCAGCACATGAGTGCACGCTACCAACAACAATGTAGCCATAATTTCCGTTAAAAGGTACATGTACATCTTGATTCAATTATCGTGTCGAATCCACTTGACATTACAAACGCGTTTCGATTGTCATTTAGGATTATCAGTTCGATTATTTGTCACGAAATAGAAATTTTGTAATTGTTGTCTAGCACAAAATAAAATCAACGCATCAAGATGAAATTAATTAACGAACACACAAACAAAATATCATTATCGTAATGAAATTGCGTGTATTATTTCATTCGATGAGAACGTTATGAGCACGAAAATAGATAGAAATATTTAATCGTGCATTTAGCAACTAAATGAAATAATTATTGCTGCAAGATACACATATATATTACCCGAGCAGTCTTTAAATCTTAAAAGAAGCTCTGATGGCGGGACAGGACATTAATGTGGCTCGCACAACTTTATAAGAACTGCGCCAACCTCGAGCTCTGTCGCATCTCTATGACGCTGTCAGGTTTCCACGAGATAGAACCGAAGTGATTCAGTCGTTGAAGCCTACGGTTGACAAAACTCGATAGCTCCTTGCTTCTTTTATCGTGCTATAAAATCTTGTCGACTAGAATGAAAGCTGCCACAAAATCCGATGCATCTAACCGTTTAAACGCATCAAATATATCGTACCTTCAAAAGCCAAAGTAGAAATCGATGAAAAATACTCCAAGATGCGATTATCGTCGTCACGCGATTTTTATTGGAAAAAAATATATAATAATGAATGATCTTTGAATAACAGATAGAAATCGCTTTTTTTATCTTCAAGTTACTAATTGCTCGCTATATTGCGCTCGTTTTAATCACTCCTAATGGAATTTCTAATTCACCCCAGTGATGCTAAAGTTCATCAAAAAGCACATGGCACGTAGCACGATCATTATCTCGAGTAGAGAGTCATCGAACGATTAATGATGCTTCGTAAATCGTAAAGTCTACTGCTGGTAGAGCGTTTTGTGCTAAATTTATGTGTACTTTAATAACTATTAAAATAATATCATTGAATAATTTATCAAACTTTGCTCGATATAGTTCTCGAGTATCTTGAATATTTTTCCCGACAATGTATGTATGCTAAAATTAGCCTAACTGAGCGCTGTCTGCGAAAGTGGGGGCAAAAAATAAGATGTACATTAATATCATCGATTCTACGATTTTTCTCTCGCTACGATTCGACAAAATTGACTTGTAAATTAATGAAGAAAATGCCGAAAGCTGAGAAACATATAGATTCTCGGTGCACACATACACATTCTATATACATATATCTTCGTCGTCTCTCGAGATCGCAATTAAGAATTCATCTGCCCTCTCGTGCTCCTCTCTAGTTCTCTAATACACAGGTATATACAGGTATCTAATAAAAACGTATCGTTAAAAAATCATCGAATATCCATAAGTCCGTTGATTGGAGCACGAATTTCGAAGCTCGTTTATATTTACGGTCTCCGAAATAACGCGTGCGAAATTCCGTGAAATTTTCGAGCATCGCGCAGCAGCCAAGGACCGAGCGAGAACGATCATTCCGGACTAGGTCGCATCACGCGGCTCGACCGCTATATACTCCCTCCTCGAGAAGCTTATATCGTTAAGCCGGCGCATTAAGCGCAGTCGGAGACGCTTGGAGCGATCGCCTCGCCCGCATACGATCTTCCGTACCGGTAAATAGTGTAGTCGTCGTCCCTTATCCTCGAGTTCCTTATCTATCGTCCCGTAAGGGGATGGTTTCGTCCATCGCCTCTCTGGATCGTATCGTATCCCGAGTCGATCGATCGTCGCCTGGTGCACGCGCGCTGACCGGTTGCGGTACCACGTTCCCGCACACACGGATTCGCACAGATCGCGGATCCCTCGATTCGCGTACCCCGACGACGGGGACACGAGGGGCACGGCGCGTCGCGAGTCGTCGGACGAATCCCCTCTTCGAAGGTCGGGAAAAGCCCGCGTGCGATCAACGATACGACTCGCGAGAGAGCGAAACGGGGGTAAGAGATATACGCGCGGTAGAGATGGATCGACTCCTCGCGCGGAACCCACCCGTATCAGCGGGGTGACCGAGTAGCGACTGAGACTCACCCTGCGTGGTGCCGCGGTGGCGGCGCTGACTACCCCTCCGAAAGAAGAAACACCATCCCCCCACTCGTACGGCGGCGCGGCGCGTCGCGGCGCGCAACCCCCCGCTGGCTGTCTCGCCCTTTTTCCCTAAAACATTCCGGCCCGCCGCGAAGCGCCGCGCCGTCTCCCCCTCGGCCGCTCGACGCCGACGCCGACGCCGACGCCGGGCCCGATCAGCGCTGGCTGGACGAGTCGGGTCGAATCGGGTCGGGTCGCTCTTGTAATCCGACGACGAACCAACCACTGACCGGCTTGGTCAATGTAACTACCGGAATATCAGATAACTGCTGGCGATTTCCACACGCCTGATGTAACCCTTTCACTGCCAAGGGGACGCACGTGACCCGCTGACACATAAACGCGCGACACGAGATGCGGTGATTTGCGCGAAGACCGATTCGACCAAGAAACTCGGGGGAGTCGCGAGTAAAACTACGTTTATATAAGTTTACTTTGTACTACGCTTATGCTTTTTTCATACGGGAACGTTAATCATTTTTTTCTTATGTAGTTTTTTTCATCCTGACAAATAGATGCCGTGATAAAATTCATCGTAACACTCGTTACGCTTGTGCGCGAAATAATATCTCTCGAGCGCGCTTTGGCAAATTTTACAATTCTATTACGCTATTAACGATCTCCCATTCTACCGTGACTATCCCAGCAAAAGTTGGCATGGTTTCAACGAGAAATCTTTATGACAAGAAGTTTTGAATGTTCGAAGATTTACCATGCTTAATCGTCCAAGTTATTTGCATTAACAACTGTTTTATACGACGCGTATGCACTTTGATTATGATATGGAAAGAATAATTGTGGATAAAACGAGAAAATGAAATTTTACAAAGTGCATATGCAAATATTTCAATTTATATATCTATGATGATTGATAATGTAATCTTAATTTTTGCAAAAATTAGTATTCCATATCTAGTATCTTGACATAATTATAGATAGAGTTCTGATTATTCAAAGCAGACTAAAAATTTCAAAAAAATTTCTTAAAAATTTTAATTGTGAGAAAAGTTGCTTTTTTTTGCCTAGAAATATCTAGCATTTTCCTACAAATTCCAGATAATTCCAGGAAAGGTATTATAATTCAATAATGTAAATTGATTCTGATTATCAAATATAAAAATAGTATTATCAATTTTTACATAAAATATGAAGCTAGAGCCCGACATATCTTCGTATCTCTATTTTTTACATTTAATGGAATAAAAATTTTTTTTAAATAAAAAGTTTTAAATTCTAGTATAATAAAACGACTCTAGTGCATATGTGGGAATTTTAAAGATAGAAAAATGCAAAATACTATAGATTATATTTCCCTTGCAAGCAAACAAATTATTTCCGATACGCTCTATGAATATCGTGCATTGTCATTACGAAGACGTTATTAGGATCACAATACATTCGGCATTCGTGTATTTATTAGGATAATAGAGGAACTGTGCGGACTAAATGCCTCGCCACGACATGAAGTGCGAAGGATGGGATGGAATGTGGAACTGCGTCAGACAAAGAGCGAGAGAGACGATGTACGATGCAAGAAGAAAGACAATAGGAAATGCAAAAGCGCTTCTCATCGTCTGGGTTAATGGAAACGTATGTCAAACGACAAGGCTTTTCGACGCTAGACGAACTTTGTTTAGTCGCGTAAATCATTTATCAGTAAAGTTTGGACTCGAGCATGGACATATTTATTAATACAATATCTAGTGTATACAATATATATTATATTTCAAAAATTTGTAATTAAATATTTACAAACCTACAAATCTAAAAAATGGACATCAGACGTATTATAAATGTTATTAAAGTATTATTATACTTGATAAACAGATTTTGTAATAATTATAAGATTAAAAAAGAAAATTAGCATGCATGAATGTGAATAATCTTATTGTAAAACAGAGAATTCCCTTTCATTTATTCATATCCATAAAAACATATCAATGCTATTATCTTTTAAAGATAGAACGACACAATAATATATTGTAGGGAGATTCAATTACTATATAAATCTTTATTAAAGTTTTTTAATTAAAACTTATGAGTACAAAAGAGAGAAAGAGAGACCAAATATAATAAAACTACATTATCAATATAAATAATAATTTGAAAGTCTTATATTTATAAGGGACGAAAAGAGAACTTTCAAGAGACAGACAAATATAAAACTTAAGTATTTATTTTTATTGAAGACGTTTTTGAGAAAAACGAATATTGTCAACAATATTATATAATAAACGGATTCAAAGGGTACCACAAACAAAAGAGACAAATGAAGAGCAAAGTTACATTGCATTTTTTCTGAAAAATGATCAATACAATGACGTTGAAAAGATTTCTGGATATTAAAAAAGATGATTTCAAAAAATAATCAGAAATATCTATTCTCTATATCCTAGTATTATAATATCAAATAGTACAAGAAAAATTGTACAAGATTTAAAAAATCTGTATAAATAATATTCAGCCTAAAATTCTAAGAATTATTAAGAGAAAAACAATCCTTATATTTTTATATTTGTAATAAAATAAGAAGAAGTGATGTAAATCGCGCATACTTTAATGTATCTATAATATCAATCAAATTTTAAAAAAAATTCGCCAAAATAATGTCAATTAAATTGTTTTAGTACATACATATACAAATATTCTTTTCAAAAGAAAAAAAAATCTAATTAAATAATCTAAATAACAAATATGAACGTAACCACGTAATAAGCATTTTTTTTTTTTTCTATATTCTCGTACGTCCCTAAATACGAAAGTAGAAGGCAAAATAGCCTGTTGGAATCCATGGACACCATGATAATGTTTCCGAAACACGAGGAAATCGCGTGCTAGATAAAGAGGCATCGCCAATTCAACGAGGACGGAAAGGTTGCGATCGAAGGCATCAAAGGGAGGGCGCCACCTCGCCGGCAACCCCATTTCCATCGACTCTTCAGACGAACTGATTTCTAACGATGGCTCTCATGCCAACACTTACTTGCGATTTTCCAACAAAAATGCTAGACGGTACAAATTTTAGTTCAATAACGATCGGCGCCGTGATAATGTCTTGTTGATAAAATGCGATGTATTTTGGTTAGTAATTAACATTTTTGTTAAAAATAAGACAATATTCTCTTTCTCTGTGAATTTCCAATAATAAAATAAATGCCTATAATTTTCCGACGATTTTGCAATAAAAAAAATTAAATATTTCTTACATGTTAAATTATTCATAATAATTATTTGGCATTGTAAAAAACTTGTAATAATTTCAGTTCTATGCCCTATTCAATTTGTAGAAATTTTCTTATAACATCTTTTTCTTATGTAATAAATTTTTAATATCTTATTGCTTTTTTTTTAAAGTAAGACATTCGAGATTTGTGAAATAAAAACTGATAAATCTCATTCGAAGTTGATCCGGCGGCTCGTGTCCGAATGACAAGGTTAAAAGCTTTATATCCTTTAAAGTTAGAGAGCAGCTATCTTCTTGCCAAAGATAGATGCCATCGCTATTGATATCATCCAACATTTACCACAACAAACTATGGATGAAAGTGATAAAAAGACAAATGGATGGAAACTTTGAGAGCGAAACACAAGGCGAGAAACTTTGGTCAACGACAAAGAATTGATATGATCAATACGAATGTGTCATCATAGTCATTCTAATACCAATAATTGGTCCTTGTTACATAACTCTCGTCGTCACATGATTATATTTCTGTAGAGCGATTTATTTATATTTTATAATTATATCACATTCCCTTGTGTTATAAATTATTTTTTAAATTTATTATTCACACATAAAATTTATATCATGTTATATAAAATAATAAAAGCGTGAAAGAGTTAAATTTATCGAAGAATAGATTTTATTATTGTATTGTTTTTCTATGCAAGAAAAAAATTTTAAATACACAACTTTTAATTAGATAGCTTTAAAAAATATATTAACATAAGCTTATTGGATTTCTTTTTTATCGTAATTTTGATGCTTGAATATTTTTCTCAAAAATTATCAACATTATCAAAGAATTATCAATGATCCTATTTTCTTCTTATAAAAAGACTCCAATATAACAATTTAATTCGCCTCGTTAAGAACTTAAGAAAATTAAATATAGCTTTTTCGACATGTAAGAAATATTTATTCAAATTTTAATAAAAGTCGGTTAATTATTTATCGAATTTTTCATTGATCTCGCTTTTACATACATGTAAGATGTGGCACATGCAATTCCTGATAAAGACGATTTAATCCTACTTAATCACTGTCTATGTACATTCAGAACATTTGAAAGAAACATGTTAACGAGATCCATCATTCATTTCGCATGTACACAATCGCACGCAGAAATTCCCCATAGACTACACATCACGCACGTACATACTAACTCTGGGAAACTTCGGTTGCCTCCAGAAGGCTCATTTGAAATGCAAATGCCGCATTTTCGTCGATCCCCATGCGACGATATAGTAATATATATTACCAGTTACTTGGCCGACTGTTAGCCCACCCGATTATAATACTGTTCTGCTAAATCGAAAAATTTTTATATACATATATATATTTCGCGTTTTTCTTTAAATATATATTATATTGAAGATATGTCATACCTACATACAATACACACACATACATACATGTTAAAATGATCGACAAGGAATCATTATATAATATTATATTATTTCATCAAATGTATAATTCTCTTCACTCGTCTTGCAGATATTGTGCAAAAAATAATCTCTAATCATCTCTAATAAGATAATCTCTAATCATCTCTAATCACCTCTAATCATCTGATATCGTTCTATTATATATAAAGTCAGTTAAAATACCCAATAAAAAAAAACTTGATATAATTTAACCATATTAAAAAAACTTCATGTGACTTAATTAAATTAAAGCGATATTAAATGAGATCATTTAATATTTTTGATAATTTAGATATTTTTATGACGCTGCTTAGACGTATATGGCGTCATTTTAATTGTACTTTCTTTCTTTTGTATACATAGAGATATGCAAATATAATCCCCTTTATGATCCTTTACGTTTTCTCGTGTAAAACGCAATCGCGTAGAAAGCAACTTGGACAAATGCCAAACAACTCGCGTATAGCTTTCGCTCGAAAATCGCTCGTAATTAATTCCCTGTTAAAAGAAAAACAAAAAAAAGTATATCCTTTCATCGGATCTTTACGAGAATCATGTCACGATCATGACATACTTTCTCCGCCGCACCTGTTAAATCAGTTATTTATTAATCTCTAATCAAAAGAGAAATTGTCTTTTTTGAAAGTTGAACACTACATTACACATTTTATAATCTGTTTCAATATCATTCGTGTGACAAAACGCTACCGTAAACATATAGATATAATATAGAAAACACATTCAAAAATAAAATTTGCATAATTTTTTAAAACACATATGATAAAGTTTATCTCAAGTACATTATCGCTAAGTACCAATATTATGCGATAACTTTCTATTATTAGTTAAACAATGTTGGCAATAAAGCTTTGTATCTATCATTTATTTATGTAATGAAGAATATATTATTGTAGAATATTCAAAATATGCGATATCTCTCTACCAATATAAAGAAAATTGTTATGCCCATCATTTTCTTCAAAATACCCTTGTGTCATTTTCTCTCTTCTTTAAAATCTTCCGATATAAAATATATGATATATTCTCTCCGTATACAGAAACATATCTACTTGCGTATGATTACGAGACAGCTGGCATGATGTTGACGCGTTGCATTAATCTGAATATATCTCCTTACAAGAGAGAACACAACAAAGCCATTCTTTCTTGAAAAATAAACTTCGCTCTGAAAATATTGCTCTACAAATACAACAACAAAATAGGCCGTAGCTACGATATCGCGCCGCGCAAACAAATAAAATTGTATCTGCTGTGCTATACATATATCGCATACGATACGCGGCATTTTTACGAGTATGCATATATGATGCAGATTCGAATATCTTACATTTTGATGATATTATATACATCACACGTCAGTCGATCAACTAAATGTAATATCTAAAATATTGATTAGACAAAAAAAAAGGAGGACCGATTCCGAGACGCCACGGCAAGGTCGAGGCTGCATAGCGAAGCGAATCAAGGGTGGCAGATTTGCGGGAGGGAGGCGAGGGGTAAGTCGCACGCGATTCGGCGATTTGCACATTCGCACGATCATTCGGACGGAAATAAATTTACCTTTGTCTTGCCCCGCAGGAGTTTGCGCTTTTAAACAGGCATTCGATATATCCGGAGTTGCGTGCGCCTTACGAAGGCAGCGTATTAACCCAGATTTTTCGCATTTTGTGTTTCTCGAAAAAATATGCGAATGGCTATGCTCGCTGAAATGGAAACGGCGAGATTCAATCGGTATGATATATTGTCGGACAATGTATTTATAAAGAAATTTTGGAGTATTCTCAATTTGACAGATCGAAGTTTATGAGAATCAATTAAAAATTTCCTATTTTCCTTGCGATTATAAACGATACTTGTTTCAAAATAAAATTTGTCGCATAATTGCGTAAATGTTATTCAATAAAATAAATATTATATTCTACTGATGATTATATAAATGATTAGAATTAAGTTAATAAATAAACGATTTTTCGTTAGATAATAATGATTGATTGCTATCTATTTGCAAACTATGCGATAAAATTGTATTCTATCAATATGTATATACAAACAAATAAATTATGCTTTAGTAGCCGCTATCTGAAAACAATGGGATATTGATGAAATAAAATTCAGAAAAGTACATATTTATATAAAGTGAATTTCTCAATATTATCAATCAAATTGCCAAATAATTAACCTATAATAGCAAATTAATTTATTGCACTGTCAAAATTTCGTTGTGTTTCGTTGCGCATTTCTCTTTTGTTGTCGATATTTGTAAATATAATTTGTTAATCATTTTTTATATATTTTGCGCACGAATGCATCACATGTCATTGCTCTTCAGAATACGCAAAATCGTTTGTCTTGACTGTACATTAAGGCTGTTATTTTATACGTATGAATGCGCTTCCTGTGACGTAATATGAGAGCGCTCTCTTTCTCTCTCCAAGTGCTGCTTACATTTTATAAACGCATAGGTGTAATAACTGCTTGGAACAACTCTATTACTAATGCAACATTCACACTCCACTAGCGTAATCTTGATTTACTTGACGCTCAATTCTATGCATGTACGTATAATAAACACAATTTTTATACATCTACGCAAAATAAACACAGACATTTCCTGCTGCGTATTGATATTTTTAAATTGCTCAAGTCTACTTTTATGTTTGAAACATACATTGTTATTATTTTCACTTCTTTGTATTCACTCTTCTACCATTAATTACATACAATGTATAATACAGGTTAGTAATTTTTTATTTTGCATATGAATGACTGATTCGCGATTCTAAACGCATCGAAACCACTTTGCCACAGTTTGCCACTGATTCTGCATCATTTCCGTCTTACAAAGAGATTAATCAATAAAGGAAATTTTCTTTTATACTTCGAGGCTAACAAGTCATCTACAATGGCAGTAGGATTAATGGATTAAAGCTGTAACTTATGGAATTGATCAATAATAGTCAAGCATTAAGAGAATACTCGATTATGATCAATTATTGGTCAATTGATTGAGTTACAGCTTTAATGCATTAATCCTACTGCCATTGTAGACGACGCTTAATAAATAGTGAGGCAAGTTTCAGTTTTTAACAAGCTCCATTTTGATACCAACTTTCAAGCATGACTCGTAAGTTAATTGTGAATAGTTAGTTTCTGAGTCTGATAGTAGAGTACACTGTACACGTCTTATAAAAGATAGTGGGGATGATATCATACGAATGATATTTGAATGACGATCTTATATATATGCACTAGCTTATTCGCAACTCTCGAGTGTTAAAGTCGCATTGTTTTAAATTTCATAAAATGACGATTCTACGATTGTCGGTTTTCGCACGGACATTTTTGAATCGGAGCATTGGAGAATATGCTCTTAATGCATCGCCAAAAATTCATTTCGGGAAATTGATCGAACGTCGATGCTATGCGACCGCGATCAAATTAAAAGTGGATTCGCAAAATGTAGTGAGCAGCGGATTGCCTGATGTGAGCGGTTTTGAAAATATTTATTTACATGATTTTATCTGGGAGAAGATCGAGAGATGGTCGAATCGTACTGCTTTGGTACGTGATGCCCACATAAGTGTAATAATATAAAATTGTACAAAATATATGAGAGAAATATTGATATATCTTTTTCAATATGATAGGAAATATATTGACGAGTTTTATTATAAGGAATATATTTTTTAATATAAGTAAATTATAAAAATCTACTGTATACACGGTGGGCCATTTTAATCGATGCACTCGAATATTTCGAAAACAGCACTCTTCAGAAAGAAATGTTTCAAACAAAAATTGTAGGGTGTGAAGGGGGACATAAGATGGTAGCATTGGTTTGACCTTGGAAAGTCATTTGAAGGTCACATAAAAGTCACCTTCAATTTCTTAAATTGAACCCACTATTTTTCATTACATATTCTTGTAGCTTATCTCGAGAGCTTTCCAAAACACTACAGACAAATGTTTTTTCATTAAGTACTTTTTGAGTTATAAGGCTTCAAAGTTTGCAGTACTTCGATATAAAATGCAAAATATCTCGTAAAATATTTAGTTTTCGGTAGTCTTACCCTAATACTTTTATGCACAGGATAATGAGACAAAACTATTGATGCAAAGAAAACGCATGATTGTTTATAACAAAAAGTGCATTGCAAATTACACATTTTTTATCATAAACAATCATACGTTTTCTTTGCACCAATAGTTTTGTCTCATTATCCTGTGCATAAAAGTATTAGGGTAAGACTACCGAAAACTAAATATTTTACGAGATATTTTGCATTTTATATCGAAGTACTGCAAACTTTGAAGCCTTATAACTCAAAAAGTACTTAATGAAAAAACATTTGTCTGTAGTGTTTTGGAAAACTCTCGAGATAAGCTACAAGAATATGTAATGAAAAATAGTGGGTTCAATTTAAGAAATTGAAGGTGACTTTTATGTGACCTTCAAATGACTTTCCAAGGTCAAACCAATGCTACCATCTTATGTCCCCCTTCACACCCTACAATTTTTGTTTGAAACATTTCTTTCTGAAGAGTGCTGTTTTCGAGATATTCGAGTGCATCGATTAAAATGGCCCACCGTGTATATTTTTCTGTCAAATAATGGATATATAATGTTAAAAATTGTAAAGAAAATTTATCGATTATTACAACATTGATTATATAAAATAATGATTTCTCTCTGAAACAAGAAACTATATTTCATTTATACAAATCTATACTCTCTTACTGTTTTCATATAAAAGACAATATTAAAGCTCTATCAAAGAATGATCTAAAATAACAAACAAGATCTGTTAAAAGCTTAAAATTAGAAATGTCTTATATTTAGAAATTCTGATATTGTCATTCATGTATTATGATTATATTATGTTACTGTACATGTATAATTAATGTCCGATTGTAATTTTAGATTTGTTTAGATACTGGTAGATCGTATACGTACAGTCAATTGAGAAAAGCATGCGGCAGACTAGCAACGAGTTTGAGAAAAAGCAAACTCCTGCCAGGGGATACTATCGCCATTATTTTGCCAAATATTCCAGAATTTGCCATCATATTACTAGCGGCAAACGAAGCCGGTTTACGCGTAAGATTAAATTATATTTGAAAACATTTCTATGCGCGCATATGACCCATAGCACATGATAAGAATTTATCTTTTTTTGCCTTATTAAAATGAGGAAGCAAAATGATCACAACTTATCCACCAGAAAATGCGATATTATGTCGTATTTATCGAAAAAAAATTCAATAATATGATTTAGAAAGATGGGCAAAGTCACCTAAACTATTTCTATAATAAATTGTTTTTTTTTTCAATTACATAGTTTTCTCGAGAAAATAACTTTAAATATGAAAAAATATACGTCTATTTCGTTGTATGTATGTATATAAATTCATTAAAAGCAAATGTAGCTTTAGAATTTATTTCTGTATGACACTATACATTTGCTCTATCATTGACTCGTACGATAGAGCACACACATAAATTCATATAATTATCATATAATGTAATTATATTTCTCTAACTTTAAATGGCGATAACATATCGTCTGATCGAGTAATACTTCAAATAGCTATTCTAACTTGAAAATTATTCTCATCAAATCTATGTAAATAGTTCCAGTATTCTTTATTCATTTTCTTGTGTGAAATTATTTTCTTGCTGACTGTAATATCATTTATCGAATAGCTTATACTTTAAAAGTTGATTAGAATAACCTTAAAAAAATTCGAAAAGTACAATTAACATGGTAGAGCATAATAAGATGTCGAAGGGTGTCTCACTTACCAAAAATTTGTACATGTATTGCGAATTATTTTGATTTTTTTAAACTTAATTTATTTAGGTTAAATGAAATTGTGTAGTCGACCAAACTAGCCAGAAATATAATTTATTCAATACGACGTTTCGACCATATGGTTGTGGTCCTTATCAAGTATACAAAATTAGCCGACGTATTGGTAATCAGAGTGTCGGCATAGATAATAATCTTGTACAAAGCACATTAACAAAACTTTATTTCAGTCTTTGACGAGGTCCCACACGGACTCATTGTTCTTAAAATTAAATTTTAAAAAATAAAGTTTTGTTAATGTGACTTGTGCTTTGTACAAGATTATTATCTATGCCGACACTCTGATTACCAATACGTCGGCTAATTTTGTATACTTGATAAGGACCACAATCATATGGTCGAAACGTCGTATTGAATAAATTATATTTCTGGCTAGTTTGGTCGACTACACAATTTCATTTAACCTTTGTAAATTCGACTAGCGATATTAAGCTATTTACTAATTTCTTAATTTATTTATTCATTAAAAAAAATATAAAGCAAAATTACAGAATATAATAATATTATTAAACCACCATTATCATCAATAAACATATTTTTTCTATTTTGCTCTGTAATTAACGCTTGTAAATAACATTTATTTATAAAATTCTATTTGTAGTATAATTTAAAAAAAATTTTTTAAACTATAAAGTTTATATTGTAAAGTGAAATAATATTTTAAGGTCAAAAATAATAAAATTAATTAAATATATTAAGAAAGTTACAGTCTTTTGTTGTATTTATTTACAATGATACGATGATACAAAATACGAACATGTACAACAAGTTTGTATCTATCTTTAGAGCCTGTTTATCTTTATATTATACACAGCTTGTGTACATGTCTATTAAATTTCAGAAAAAATACTAATTATTATTTAACGACTGTTTTTTTTGAAAATCTTGCTAAAAATATAAACTATGACTATAGTTACTGGAAAGAATAACGCAAGCACACAAGCGACAACGCATACATACATTTGTATTACCGTTTATCGAAACATTAAGCATGTACATAATTTAAAAGAAAAAAAATTTTGATTTTCATCTTATTTTATTAAGTTAAAAAAATTATCTTTTTGTAATCATTACCTATTTATCTGAAATATTAAATAATTATAAATTTAAGTTTTAAAGAATTACTCACGCGCTTCTAAAAGATGTTACAAAACATAATTTTTACTTTTTTATGAAGACGTTTTAAACTTATCTTGGTTATTATTTTGTTATAAAATTTGTCAAATGCAAAGTAATTCTAGAAATATGACGCAATGCGTAAGTAATTCTAGAAAAAAATGTACATATATTGCGATAGTGAGACACCTCTTGAATAAAACACTTGAATCTGCTTAAGATAACAAAGAAATATAGTAAAAAAAATTGCAATTAATGCTATTGTGTAACAAATAAAAACTAATGTTACGTTAATTCACAATTTAATAAAGTATTTATTAAAGAATATAATTTAGGAAATTTATTAAAACTTTATATTATATTAAACTTATTATACTTATTATATAAAACGTTTAAAGTATTCATGGTGTTACGCAAACATAACTGAAATTGTTATTTCAATTGTAATTTCTTTAATTTTTCTTTTCTTTTTTTAAGACAACATTAATTAATCCTGCATATACAATGTACGAGATCAAAAAGCAAGTTGAGAATGCGGATGTTCAGGCGATTTTCACATTTCCGGCCAAATACGCTGATATCAAATCGAGTATAGACAACAATTCAAAAATAAAATTACCCATCGTTATCGTAAATGATGGCAGTGGCACCGCTTCGATCGCGGGAACCATCAAATTCGACGATCTCGTGCGCGATGACATCGAGGAATTTTCAGTCAGTCAGAAAACCGACGTCAATTACGAAGATACGGTAATCATGCCTTATTCCAGCGGTACGACTGGTCTACCGAAAAGTATCGAGACAAGCCATAGGTGCGTAAACTCTGATATCATATTAAATATTTTGAATTAAATTGAAAGAAACACATAAATATGTACGAAAACATGCGCGGAACATTGAAAAATGTACCCCTTGTATTATTATGTAAATGCAAACGTATTAATGTTATAGAAATATTGTGGTAAATATTCTTCAAGCCTTGCTTCCGGAAATCTGTCCCGCGGAGGAAACGACTGAATATCACCAAGATATTGTACCAGTGATATTACCAATGTTTCACATTTATGGATTAGTAATTATTTTGTATTGTTATTTACGGTACGTGTTAACATGTATCAATTATATCATGATATTACCATTTATTAAATATAATTATTTGATTTTAACTTTTTCCGATTGCGTTTTCTAAAAATTAATTTCTATTAATTTTTCTTTTGTATTTGATAATAATTGAAAAAAATAAAATTTATTATAATATCATGCAATACAATATATAGGATAGGTGCTAAGTTGGTGTGCATGCCGCAATTTTCCATGAATAAACTCGTAAAACTGCTGGAAGATTATCGATGCACGGTCATGTATACGGTACCACCGATCATACAGATGATGACATATGACAAACGGATAACGTCGCGTCACTTTGCATCTATGAAGTTAATAGTATCAGGAGCTGCACCTATCGGAGAAGAATCTCTCGCCAAGTTTCAAGGTCGCGTCAATCGTGTAAATTTCGTCCAAGGGTAAGAGATCACAGTTATAAAAAAAAATAGGTCTGTACAACAATAATAAGATTTGTAACTTGCATGCAGATACGGTGCGTCAGAATTATCGCCGCTCGCTACGATGAGTTTGGATGCACCATGGACATCGTCCGGTTATTTGGTTTCAAATACACAGTTGAAAATTGTAGGCACGCGACAAGATAATTTCGGCAAAAATTTACCGTTGCATGAATTGGGAGAGATATACATACGAGGTCCGCAAGTAATGAAAGGATATTATAAAAATCCCCAGGCCACGGCGGATACTATGGACGGAGATTGGTACAAGACTGGCGATTCAGGATATTACACCGAACAAGGTAAGTAAGATTTAACCGAAAACATTGAAAACGTAAGATGTGGCATTTACATTTTAAAACTTAACAATTGAATATCGTATGTCGCAGGTCTGTTCGTGCGAGCACGATTGAAGGAGTTGATAAAAGTAAAAGGATTTCAAGTCGCGCCCTCCGAACTAGAAGAAGTAATTCGCAGTAACGACAAAATACAAGACGTCGCCGTCATTGGTGTCCCACACGACAAATACGGCGAAATTCCAAAAGCCTTTGTAGTTCCTAAGCCTGGAGTAAAAATTAATGAAAATGAACTCAAAGAATACGTAGCTGAACGTGTAGTCAAATTTAAGCACTTGGGATATGTACAAGTTTTAGAAAGTATACCAAAAAATGCTTCTGGAAAGATTCTTCGCAGAGAACTTGAAAAGTTGTAGCACACTTTTCAAATGTCGAGTTTTGTACACTCAAATTAATATCAAGGAATTTATCGATAAACGTTTAATAAATGTTTAATAAACGTTTAATAAATAGATTTATATCTCTATTTTATATCTCATTATATATCTATTTACATTAAGATTAATATTAACAAAAAAAATGTTTCTTACAACAAAAAACAATCATTGATTCAAAGATTGAAAGATTCAATTATTTACTTATACGCTAATCAAGTTGAATTTATTCTTTAGATTTGTTTATCCCTCCTTGAGAGGATTCTTCTTTTTCCAAAAGAGTACTTGTAATTCCAACTTTTTTTAACTCTTCGATAAGCTCACCATTTTTGTGCATTTCTAACAGTATGTCACAGCCACCCACAAAGTCACCATTTATATATACCTGAGGTATTGTGGGCCAATTGGAAAAGTCTTTTATACCTAATTAATATGAATATATATTTAAAAGTGATGTCTTTAATAATATTAAAAGAATATTATTATTAGTAATATTAACGGATATAGAGAATAATATTAAAAGAAAACATTTTATTTATGTAAATATATTTATAAAGATTTATAAAAATTGAAAAAATTTTTTATATATTACAAACGATTTTAGAAAAATGTTTTCATAACATTTATATTTTTTATAAAATAAAAAATTGTACATATTTTTCTTTTGAAACATTACTGTGGATATATACTTGATATAATAATAAATAATTATAACAATTTACCTTGTCTAAGAGTTTCATCTTTAAGAACATCGTGAGCATCATAAGTAACACCATGCATTCGCAATATTTGAACCACAGCATTGCTAAATCCACATCTTGGTTCTTCCGGTACGCCTTTCATGAAGACAACTACTTTATTTTTCTACAAAAAACAATTCGCATATAATAGTAAATAGTGCACATAAGTAATATTATATTTATTGATATTTATCGAAAATAGAAAGTCCTTTCTTTACAAGCTTGTATAATGTATTTTTTTTTGCTATAAATTTAAAGTATAAAAAAATTTTATACAGAAATATAGGCTGACCTAGTGAAATGCATATAATTCTTCTTGTATGAAATACCATACATTTCAAGTCAGAAATATCTTACATAATGAAAAAAAAATCCCAAATCGTATCAATCATATTTACTTTAACAAGATTGCCTATTTCATCGAGCTTTGTGCTAAAATTTCTGACGATGAAGGAACATCTCGCTCCAAAACGAAACATATTTAATTTATGTCGCTAGAAAAAACGCACTTTACCGATTAACTTAAATTTTTCGTTTAGACAGCCTAAAGAGGTTATGTAGCCTATCTCGTATTTACACGCGATTCTAAACCGATGGTCGTGGCGCCATCGTGCGTTATAATCGTCAAATTCGTATCCAGAGTGTATAAATTCCGTTATTCGAGAATCTCGACAACTTATGGGACAGAAATAATTTATGAGATCTATAACATATCGTCCCAAAAAAATATGTAAACAATTTACGAAAAAATGCTGAGAGAGATTACTATTACAAATGAATTACTCACCAACAGCTTTTCTGCTGCCGACTTAGAAAAACACTCACACTCGCGAACACGATTGCAAAAAATGACTACATCGACACAAATTACGACGCACGTATTCGCTAACACGCGATAACACGATGGATTAGATTTTCGTTGTAAGTACGACACTCGCGAAACACAAACGCACCGCGACTCACATTCAGCCGACGAATAATCGGGAGCAAAACTAATACGCGTCAAGTCATTACCGAGGATGCTCGTCGACTGCAAAGATATGTAAAATGTACAATTCGCGCGCGTTCGAATCAGCCAATCACGGTCGAGCATTGCTTTACAATTACGCGCGTCGGCCAATCAAGATCGAGCATTTTTTTTACGATTACTGCGTCACACTCGACCAATCACAGCGCATGTTTTATAATTTTGAGATATTCAAACTTTGCAAGTTCAGTAAATTACGTGCTTTAACCGTCCTCGGATTCGCGAAAGTATCGGTAGTTTGAATTAAGTGAATTTGGCGAGCGATTCGGTACCTCCCTCGGATTAGATAGTGTTATTTGTGATACAAATCGAGAAAACACAGTAGGTGTTAAATTCCAAGCGACGATGACCGATCCTTGCTTCAAAATGTATCGTAAATTCGATGCATAACGCGAGCGCCGAAAGTATGTCGGAGATATCGTATCGAGTGATTAGTGTTTTTTTGTCGGTTTACAGTGAAATAGATCCACAAGTGTCTATAATCGAGCGGTGTTGGTGAAAAGAAAATTTATTTTGTGATAATATAGCTGATATTCCAGCTAAGTGCGTGTAATAAATCAAGAAAGTGCGGGAAGTGTTGATTACGGCGTATCGCCTTAATCAAAAGAAATGTCAGAAAAGAATGTCAGGAGCATTTTTTGGATCGATTCGCAATCAATTGGACCTCTAAGGATCTGGAATAACGAAGTAGCTGGCGAAAAAGCAACGATAATCCTTCTCCCTCCCTCCGCCTCTTCGTTTCTCGATCCACAGATCGGTGAGTTTATTTATGCATTCGTTTATTTATTACATTCTCCTTATCAATTATTTTGTTTTATCCGCTTGCGAGGATTTAATCACGTTTTCCCTATCGCTCTCGATATTTTACGAAAGAATTTAATTAAATTCTTTGTCTCGTATTTCGTAGAAAAAGTAACGCAGAAAAAGTATACCGGCTGAACTCGTGAAAAATGAGAAAGTAGTGCGACAGTCGGTAATCGTTGAGTTATCTTCCGGTATCGTCAGCCGGTTACTCGGAACAAGTGTCAGATGTCACTGACATGCGGTCTGCGACCGCGACTCGTGCACGATTCCCACACGCGCATGTATTCGTAGACGCACTTTGCGGCGAATGCCGTCGATATATTTCAGTGCGGCAAGTATCGCGGAACTACAAGAGAGATTACACTACGAGGAATAGACGGATAGAGTACTCTTCGTTTACTCGCTACAAGTCGTTTACTCGGGCAAGATGGCGTGTGCGCGAAAAGCCAAGTTCCGTCGAAGCGTTCGTTTCTCTCCGAATTTGACCTCCATCGATGACCTAGGTACTTACGTTCGCGAATAAACGCATCGTTGCGGAGATACGATTGCGTACATGAATCGGAATTACGTCACAAGAGACGAGATGACGTCTTCTTAGAGATATTAAAATTAACCACTCACAAAATATGCTATATATATGTGTTTCAATGAATATATTACTTCTCTCAATGAATATTTATGTTATTATGAAACGAGATGGCGTTTCCTTGGAGAATAAAAATTAATCGTTTAAAAGAAAAAAAAATGTATATATTAGAGAGAAAAATAATATAAATATTCTAAATTGCTCGAAATGATTGAAAAATTTCTTTATCATTTTCTTCGATGAGAGAGCATCCACGGTGAATCTCCAAGTAATTCGATATTGAGTCAATACCAGTTCAGTCTATCAGTTAGGAAACACATATTAGTTCCATCAAATTAACGGGAAATGTTTCCTCTCCTCTCCCGTTTCTCGCGACCTTCCATGCTTCTCGTGACGTTGCGTGAATATACAATCTACGAGCTCGGAGAGAAAGAGAGAATATTTTATCTTATCTATATCTTTATATTTAACGGCGTTAGCCATTAGAAACGCGATAAGAATTAAAGATCTAACCTATATCTCTTGGCAAAATATTTATTTTCCTCTCTTGAGAGCAGGCAGAAATATGTGACAGTTTACTATGCAAAGATGTTTATCTATTTTTTTATCGAAGATATAAATCTCGTCGTTTATCTAAACGAATTTTGTCTCGAGAAAATAGATTCTTAAATATACAAGAGATTTAAAAGTTATCGAAATACTTAACGAAAGTTAAACACAAATAAAGGGACGACAAAACGCCCTTTTCCCAGATATACTAAACACTGTGAAACGAATCGATAAAATTTACGATAAAAATGATTAAACAAATGATACGTCGTTTGTATATACACATTTAATAGAAAGGCAGCGTCGGATCGATTCGACGTCGGTAACGTCCACGAGATATACCAACTTGGGCTTTATGGAATACATTTCGGCTCGTAAAATTTCGGTCACCGACTGATTTTGGGCGCATAGCAGGCTGTTCGGCATCATAAAATGCCGTGATACGTCGTAAAACGCTTTGCTCCGCCGACTGTTGCGGCGTGGCACGTGCTGCCATTCGCTTATGACGTCACATCGGAAAAGCCTGCAACAGTTACTAGATGTTAATCCTTGTTTATTCTCGCTACGTTATTTAACGCCGATCGTTATTTAGTACCGTACGCAAGAGTCGCAATAGATTATTAACATTAATAGTTAAGTCGGAATTAATTCTTTTCAATAATCGATTTTTTTGATTCGCAAATATATACGTCGCGTCATCCCGACAGATTAAGCCGATATCGAGCCGCGTGGTATGCGATACGATGCGTGGCAAGTGACGTCACGTCGGAAACGTCGGAGCACCTCGATGACGTTATCGAGATGCATACCTCGGACGCGTTCATCGGTTGCGCGTGTGCGGCGATGACGCAATATTGAAAAATTACTAATCTGGGAAAACTCGCGTGGGCGCCGCTCGCGCCACGTGTTCGCCTCGTAATTCGTGACGTCACGGGGTAAAATCATGGTCACCATGGCGACTCTCGGGCGGTCTCTCCTCGTCCCTACGGATCTCGCCCACGAGATTTAAACTTCCGTTGCCGGTCGTCACGCCCTGTTTGACGGGCAAAGGTGGATAGAGGTAGATGTGTTGCGGTAGGTCCGGGATAAAAGTCCGAAAATAGCAACAGGTACACGGTACAAAATGAAAAACATAGCGAATGCGCAAGATGATTTTTTTTTTATTTAAAAAAAATACGACAACATAGCCGCCCAATAATTGATTTGAGCGAGACTCGAAGATCTCGAAGAGACGTACGATATTTCAGGCAACACACGCGCAATATCGTTCATAATATGTTATAATTTTATGCAAGTAATATGTGCTTCTTTACACACTTTCTATTAATTATGAATTTATTAATTATTTTATAAATAAATTTTTCAACATAAAGTTTAAACACAAAATATGCGCAAAATTAAACACGTTATGTGAAAATTAATTGAATACTAAATTTATATTAATAGTTAATTTATTGATACTCGATAATTTAACGGATAATATTTATACGATATTTTTTTTCTTTTATATAATATTGATTTGTGAAACATGTTAAAATTAAAGAAATGGAAGAAATTTTACTCTTAAAATTATGTTGCAGCAGATTATTTGATCGATAAATTTTAATTCGCATAATTACCGCACATGTAGCTTCTTGGTCTTGGCTTCTTGGTTTCTATCCTAATTTAACGCAGGATGCTTGGAAAAAGTCGACTGGGGAAACTACTATTAGGTCTATTAAGTGAGAAAGGCCCGAAGAGAACTTGCGAAGGCCAACGATTTTAAAGGGAGAATAAAGGGACGAGAAGCGGAAAGGAATATTACCGACATTATGATGTTGAAGCGACAATTGTTGCGATAGTTTACGGTAAACGCTTTAATGCGACTACCGTGACGTGGAGTATTATATTGTCACAATGTCGTGCTCCGCATTTCTAAGGTAAAGTTATGCTTTTACATCCGTGAGACAGCAAGGGAAACAAAGTCGAGGCGCTCTCTCTTTCTTATATTTCTCAAATCCAAGATATAAATCGCACTAAAATGGAATGATTGTCTTTTAACGTGTAAAAGATGATGTAAAAAATCAAGAAAAGTAAATGGGAAGAAGACGCGTATTTGTTATTTTGGGCTTACATCTGTTTATCAAGTCGTATGTATTTCGCAAGGCAAAATTTAAATAAAAATTTAAAAAGATTACACGATGTATGGTGACTTTAACGGAACTTTGAGGAACTACAGTTCTTCTTCTTCTTCTTCTTCTTCTTCTTTTTCGATAACCCATTTACCGGTTATCGCAGTCCGCGTGATCCTTTTCTAATTCGTTATTTCCTTTACAATCGGAATTAGGTATTCTCCGCGAGCGATGTAGACTCGTCCGACAAGTTTCGCTAGTATATCCAAGTGTACAGGTATATCTTGTATCGGTTCGGATCCGGTATTCGCGCGCAAAGTGATAATTTCAGAAGTGGAACGAAACGGATTCTCAAGTCGCGAGAAGACATCTTAATCGGAATGAAATACATATCGTCAATAAATAAAGACTCCCGATGTTTCGCAATATATACGGTATCGAAATGTCAAAGATAACTAATTGAAAATTTCAATTAGTAATTTTATTGCATTTTAAAGTGAAAAGAAAAACAAATATGCA